AGGTCAGAGCAAACTAAAAGAACCCAAGACTAACGTGGTGGGCCCTAAGCGATCGGTAGTGCCCCGACAGACTAACGTATAAGGCTCCGGCCAGATCACAATACCCTGTGAGCAAAGGGAATTATCCAAAGCCATGAATTGATACCCCTGTGCGCTCAAGAGAGCAAGGGCGGGTTAACAGAAAGGGCCTCGATAGGAGTGAAGCGTCCTCCGCAAATGAGATAAAAGGGAACGAGCCCTTGATCAAATAATAGAGCCACTGAACATCGAGTGTATCGGTGCCTTACCTTATAAGAGCCCCACCAACAGCACAAGGCCCTCCAAGGAAGTGAAAAGAACCCAAGACAAACATGAATGGTCCTCGAGCAACTGAGCGTACCCTGGCATTGGGCACCGAAAAAACCGTATAGCAAATAAACAAACCATGTAGAGCCTTTCGGGCGAATGGGAAGAATCCGGGCAAGAAAACCTGTATCGGTCAAAAGTGCCCAGGCGTGGAAGCAGATAGCGTCCCAACAGCAGCGTTAGGTCCTACAAGAAAATACAAAGAGATCAAGGGCAACGTGGAAAGCTCCTTAGCGATCAGGCTGGCCCGGCAAGTGTACATCAGGGGCCAGGACAACCAACAGCCCATTGTCTCTGGACAGCGTAATTAGCCCCCAAATTTTCCCAAGCAACAGCGATTCAATCAATTCATCAGCGAAGCATCATTCACCATTGCAATCAGCGAAGAATTAACCTCGTCTGCTTATGAACTCTTTCCATTAACTAGCATTGTTCTAAGTCCTCTGTAGGCTCACAATCGTCATGTTTTACTGCGTTTTTTCTTAGAAAACTGCATCCATTCGGCCGCTTATGGGCCCCTTGGAGTCTTTAGATCCCCTCGTCGTGGTCCAGAAAGGCATGGTCCCTTGCCTCCGCCCCCTCCCCTTCGCATCCGCCACCGGCCCGAGCAGCTTAATAGACAGAGCCCACCAAGAAGATAGGGCCATCCATTCAGATACGAAATGTTCATGACACAATGCGCAGGGCTCCAAACAATCGAGTGTGTTCGAGCAGGTTGACATATAAGGTCCCTGTCAGGAGCGTAGGGCCCTCCAATAAAAAGAAGTACCGAAGACCCAATAAAGAGGGTCCCCGAATGATCGAGTGTGCCCGAGCAGGTTAACAAATCGGGCTCCCAACAAGAGCGTAGGACCCTCCATTCCAATAGAAAGCGCTCAAGACCCCATATAAATGTCCCCGAACGATGGAATGTGCTGGAGCAGCTTTTCAGAAGGGGTCCAGCAAGAGCGTAAGGCACTCCATTCAAATAAGAAGTACCCAGAACCCAGTACAAAGGGCACCTGAAAGATGGAGTGTACCCGAGCAAATTATCTCATGACCCTGACAGGAGTAGGACCCTAAATTCAAACACAAAGGCCCAATATGCAGAGCCCTCCGAACAATCCAGCGTGGCCGAGGAGGCGAACAGATGGGTTCCCGACAAGTGTGTGGGGCCCTCCTTTCAGGTAGGAAGTATCCAGAATACGATGTGGAATGTCCCCGAATAATCGAATGAGCCCAGAAAGGTTGACAGATCGTAGCGTAGAGCGTAGGACCTTCCGTTCAGATATAAATGCCCACGACATGATGTAGAGGGCCCCGAATGCTAGAGTGCGCCAGAGAGGTTAACAGATAGGGCCTCCGAAAAAGTGGAGGGCCCTCCATCCAGATAGGAAACACCCAAAACCAGATGTAGAGGTCCTCAAAGATCGAATGGGCCAGATAATCTTATCAGAAGGGGCCCTGACAAGACGCAGGCGCTCCGTTAATAGGAAGTACCCAGAACCCAGTGCGGAGGACCCCCGAAAGATGGAGTGCACCCGAGCAAGTTATCAAGTGACCCTGACAGGAGCGCATGCTCCTAAATTCAAACACCAAGACCCAATGTGCAGAGTCCCCAACAGTCCAGTGTGACCGATGAGGCGAACAGAGGGGCCCGACAATGCGTAGGGCCGTATTCAAATAGAACATGCCCGTGACCCGATGAAGAGGGCGCCGAACGTTCCAACGTGCCGGAGCAGGTTATCAGGTAGACCGTAGGCCCATCTCCCCACAAGAGCGTAGACTCCCTCCCATTCAGATAAAAAGTACCCACGACCCAGTTTGGAGGGTCTCCGAACGACCGAGTGTGCCCAAACAGGATATTAGATGGGCCCACGACAAAAGTGTGAGGCCCTAGGTAAGTGGCAGAGAATTGGAAGCGCCCTAGTCCAATGCAAAGGGCCCGCGGGCATATTGGAAGGGGGGGGGGGGCGATAGGTTGACCGAGACTCACGCAGAGTTTCTGAGCAGCCGAGAACACCCCGGGAAGTTAAAATATGGAGCCCCGGCTATAGCTCACAGAGCCCTTCTGGCGAATGGAAAGAATCCATGGAAGGGCCCTTGATCGACAAGAGTGTCCCGACGCGCTAGCAAGAAGGGACCAGCAACAGTGCAGAGCCCTCCGAGCAAATGCAAAACAATCAAGAACAATGTGGAAGGCTCCATAATTATTGCGATGACCCCGCAAGCGAGCATATAGGTCCCTCAGAAACGGCATAGGGCCCTTCGAGAGCGCAATGAGCCGAGAATTCCCAATTCACAACTTTTTCAATCATTGAAGTTTTTTTTACCCCTCATGCCTTCACTTTTGCTTGTAACTGTTATAAATCCGTCGCCTATAAATCCATTAATGTCTTAGTTTGTTGGCTTTGGTGTTAAAAAACTGCACCTGTTCAGCCGGCTAGGACCCCTGGGGCCAATGGACCCCTTCGGGGCACAAAGGGGATGACCTCGTAGTCCCCCCCCCCCCCCCTCTGGATCCGTCGCTGGTGAGGTGTGTGGTTGTGTCCCACAGTAAATTAATAAGCCTGAAGCAAAAGGTAAAGGAAAAAGGGAAAGGAAAGTGAAAAAGAAAAACGTTACACTCAGTCCGCACATCGAACGCACCGCCGGCACGCATGACGCCGCGCGTTCCAGCTGACAATCGTGCTGACGATTGATCGAACAGGGCAGAAAAAAGCCTGGCGTCATCGTCAGCCCGTGCGTAACGTCATAGGCAACATGACTGGTCAGGTGGCGTTCGGTAGGACAAATACTGGGCTGTGATTGGTGTTCAGGACCGTGCTGACGACAGAGCGAACGCGGCTCACAGACGACGAAAAAGCTGCCAGAAAAATTGATACGAAAGTGACGCCATAAAGACAACAGAAACGGACGCTTGAGCCATGCAATTAGCTCATGGGCTTAGGCTTGGAAATGTTCGTTCCCGCTGATAGCGGGAACGGAAAGGGGGTCTTAAATTGGCTGAAATGAAACCTTTTGTTGTTGCTGCTTCCTTATGAAGCACCGTAACGATGGTCTTGTAGGCGCAAGTATTGATGTTAATCCGGGCTGTCAAGCATGCTGTATTCAAGCGAGAACAGAAGCAATGTTACATTAATTGTAGACAAACGTTCTTTGGGATCTTCTATATTGACGAACAGCAGAGATGATGAGACAATGATTGTTCAAAGATAAACTTGGGTTGCGTTTGTGCTCTGAGTAGATATGGTTTTTTGATAGTCCTGTCACCTGTCTAGCTTGGAGGACATAGAGCAACGATAGTAAGTTCCATCATTCTGGCAAAAGGCATTGATAATTGGTATAATTTTTAGGTAATCCGTAATGAGACTGTCTTATATTATATATGGAATGTTCATTGAAGTGCATGGTAGCAGCTAATAGAAATTTGATTATCATTGTGCACATATTTTCCAATTCACTTGCCAAAAGTGCTTGCAAATGGCTTGTAAGGATGCTCTGAGCACACAATTGAATGCAAAGAAGATTAGGTGATTTTTCTATTCCCTGAACCTATCACCCTATCAATGAACCTGTGCCACCTAGATCAACAATTGATTTGCTTCCTTCTGTTTTCCAGATAAATGTGCTAGAGGGTTCAGATACCAAGATTGTCCTGTGGCATTGTGGCTCAGGGTTAGCCCTTTGACATGTTTGTACTTATGAGTGTTATTTTATTGCAGCCTGCGTCTGGTGGGAACAATGGCAGTATCTATATCATGACATGTACAACATCACTGGAACTCTGCAGCATATAGCCCCAGTTGTGGCAAGGCTCTTGACAGGTAACATGAGTGAAAGATTGTGTATATTGTATGCAAAAAATGAAAGATTAGTTTAAAATGGCAGTTTTAACTTAAGAAGGTGTCATTGCCAAAAATAACATTAATTGTATTGTCATATGCAATAGGAAGCAATCCTCTTTTTCAGTTTTTTTTTGCGTCAACATACAGAGGCATCACAATAGCTATACATATATTTGTATGATATTTCTTTGAAAATTTTTTGGCATTGGTCCTCCCCATTCATACTCTTTAACTTTACTTGTGAACAGGGGAAACTGCCAAGCAGGCCACCAGTCCACTGTGGCTGAAGTCAGCTGGTATCCTCTTGACACCTGGCCTGTTCATCAGCAGCGGATATGACTGCCCGTATGCATGTATGTACCTCACTAGCACGTGAAGCTTGGTAGTGCAAGCCATTCAGCAGGTCTCATCTGCAAATTCACAGTTTAAGACAATGAAACTTTTCAACTGACTTAGTTATAAGCATTGAAAATGCATTCACAGCACCATGCATCAACATTTCTTTTTTTATCAGTCATTATGCTAGGGTTGGTGCGTCTTGACGGCAAAATCACAACTAGCTCAGGTGGTGAGGTTTATTTACTTCATCAGCCAGTAAAGCGTACTACAGGGCGGGCACTCTTAAGCCTACGCGGTCGGCACATGCCCCAAAACTCCGATTGTCGGGCGGCTGTCGCCCACGACATCGGCCGATGTCGGGCGGCTGCCGGGCCGACGGCCCGCGTGATGTTGGTCGCTGTGGGCCCACGGATAGCGGCCTGTGTGGTCGGCTGCGTCGGGAAGTTGGGGGTTGGGGTGGGGAAGGGGTGGAGAGCATCCGACTTCACGGACGGCGGCCTATTGTCCAGCGAATGCCTGGTCACTGACTGGCCCATCCTTGTCCTGGAGGCCACCCGCCATCAACCAACAGCAGTCTAACGCGTATTCGGATCGGGTCGATGCTCCCTGGCCATCCGGTCGGTGGTCTCGTGCGACCAGGCCGACACAGTCCAACACTCCCACCAGCCAGCTGCCGTCGGTTCTGCGTACGGAGACAGTCGCTGTATCGCTGGAGTATAGGAGTATCGCTGTTGGCATATTTGCTGGACAGTTACGATTCAAATGGTAAAAGATGCCATATGAATATGGGAATGCGCTACTACGTGTCACATCTGGACGTGATAACGATGTTTTGCTAATGCGCAATTCCTTTCAGTCGCCAATGCATTGATAGCCGCATGATACAACGAACTGTAGAATCGTTGGATGACAGACAGTTTGTGTTTCAGGTGTGGGACACTAATACCATGACGAAAAGCGAGACATTTCGTTTCGATGAGAAACTCATTTGTCATGCAATGTCACCAGTTGCCACGGCACACAGTCTCATTGCTGGTAAGCCCACGCCACCGATGATTGATGCGTATGTCACCTTTTGAACAATGGTGATCCCACAGCGATTGTCTTTGGGTCTATCGCCTGCTTCTCAGGTAAATTCGAATGATCATTCACCCGACTGGCTATAAAAGTAAATTGTTTGGAAGATGTCAAACAACAGGGACATACTGCTGGTACCTCTAACAGCGGGCAAGTGCGCCGCGTGCTGGCAGTGGGCGGCGAAAGTGCGACCGTCACGCTCTGCGACCTGAGGTCAGGCTCCAACACGCACCAGCTGCGGGGTCACGCGGCCGCCTCGGTCGACACGTGCCGCTGGTCTCCTGCCCATCACCACCTGCTGGCCACCGGCGGACGCGACAAACGGGTACGCCATATACACCAGCAGACGCATGCCGGCCGCCTGCTGGCCACAGCGGGACGCTGGGCCCCTCTGTCGCCCAGCTGTCAGCTGCTGGGCGACATGTCGGCCAAGCTGGGTTGCCGGGGCAGTGAGATCCCCGGCAGATTTTTTTTGCATGTCTTTGGGGCTGTTTATTGCGAGCCGTTGCACCGCAAATACATTTACGAGGTAAATGTGCCCATGCTGGTCCCTTGCCAGTGACTTTCATAGCGTTACATATGCAGCAGCAATAGTATATGTCGTTAGAGTATATTCCTTGGCTTCGAGCGACGGGACATATATAAAATTGTTGGGTACGCAAAACCTTGAAGTGGGTTATGTCTACACAACGCCCCCGGATCCCATAGTAACGCGCGATCAGTAACGACTTACTCTGGGGAAGCTATTTCGACGCGAGGTCAGGCCACGGACATTGCTCACGTACAGGATGGTGTCGTGGGTGGAGACTCTTCCGTTTTGAGTGTTTTAGTGCAGTGTATTAGCTGGTTGGATTTTGCGTCTCAGGTTCGGCTGCACAGTACAAGGTCAACTAGTCGCCATTTAAATTCAGATAAGGCGAATTTTTAAATTATAGTGGCATGGTCGTTGTTGTCCATTTCAAGTAGACGGCCTTTAGACCTGACATCTTGCGGAATAGTTCATATGAAGTGACACCGGCTGCCCGGCGTCACTTCGGTAAGTGACCTTAAAGCTAAGCTCGGCCTACATTAGTACGTATTCCTGTCAGGGAAGGAGACGCTCTTTCGTTTGATGTCCGTTTTAAAGATACACGACAGTTGTAACGGGAGCCGCAGTACCAAAGTCGCCAGACCATGCTATAATTTGCGAGATATATGGCGTGGTCTGCGGCGTCATCAGTCACGGGGAAAAAGCGTAACCAAGCGTTGTGTAACTGTGAGTGACATTCGATTGCTCTATCTAGTACTATCAGTACTATCGATGGATCGATTTGTGTGATCCGCAATTAACTAAAAGTCACATGAAGTGCATTTAGTCCTTAGTCAGTTGTTCAGTGCACTTGCGAGGAACATTATTCACATCGACACGGCAGTAGTAATGGCCTGATTCCCCGGAAGAAAACCGGGAGAATTGAGAAATAGAGGGGTTGATATCGCGGCAGCATGCCAAAATGTAAACCCATCTATATCTTCGTGTGATAGGTTTAAATGATGGGTTTATAACTCCAAATGCGCGGACGTTCCACCTTTTTGCGCTGCACAATTTCAATCTTTAGCGTCGCGCTGTCATTGTGACCAACAATGACATCATCCTCGAGAAAAAGCGTGACAGTGCGCGGCGCCTCCGGCAGATTCTGTTCTGGGACGTGCGCTACGCCAAGAGCCAGCTGGCGTCGCTGGGCCGGCATCACCCGCGCGAGAACGTGGCGCACCGCGCGCCCGTGGCCGGTCTGCGCTTCCTAGCCGACGGCCGCCACCTGGTGTCGGTGGGGCGCGACGGCGCCTGCGCCGTCTGGGACCTGCTGACGGGCCGCGCGTGCTGGCTCGCCATCCCACGTCTGCGGCTCAGCAACACCGCCGGCCTGGGCTACCAGCTGGCGGTGACGGCCGACGGCCGCCGCCAGCTGGCCTTTCTGCCGGACGGCACCCAGCTGGCCACCTGTGACCTGGGCGGCGGCCGGCTGTGTCAGAGGCTCGACGGTCACCTGCGGCCCGTGCTCGCGTGCGAGTACGATCGCCGCTGCGGCCGGCTGCTGACGGCCGGCGCTGACAATAACGTGCTGGTGTGGAGCGCCGCCAGGACGAGCGCGCACGAGCAGGCGCGGCGGCCGGACGCCACCGGCCGGGCGTCGAACGGGGCCGGCGATGTGATGCAGGATGAGTGGAGCGATGACGACTAGCACGCCGGCAGGGCGTAGGCAGGCCGTAGGCAGGCCGTAGGCAGGCCGTAGGCAGGCCGTAGGCAGGCCGTAGGCAGGCAGGCAGCGTGCAGGAGAGGGCCACGAGCGGATGTGATTGTGCTCGTCATGTACCAGCCAGTGATCGTTTTGACACGTTTGCGGTAACCACTGCGTGTTGAGGAAACCAGAGATACGGAGTGAGATTCCCCGCGACACCCGCCCTTGCTGCCGGTGTGAGAGGCAGCCGACGCCAGATAGCCTCATCAGCTGAGCGTGTTGTAAAGCCCCAATGACAACAGAACCATGTTTGTGTTGTGCTTGGTCGGTAGATTGTTGCAAACTGAGGTAACGAGAGACCGCTGTGCATCGATGAAGATGTCGGACACATTTGCCGATATATATATATATATATATATATATATACAGATATATATATATATATATATATATATATATATATATATACATACATATATATATATATATATATATATATATATATATATATATACTACATTGCAGCCACGGACAGGAAGGATTGTGCGTGAAATTGCCGTCACGCTCTCCCACCCATCAAGGTGTTCCCAAAATGCTGGCCGTAAATAAATCCATTACCTGATTTAAACGGGATGACCACTGTGGCGCAGATGGCTAATGACATTAGCGTGCTCAATGCGGAATCCGAAGGATGCAAACAAGGGATGACAGCAGCTGGAGAGCGATCTTCTGGTGGCCTTGCGTCACCAAGTAGTGTCCTCGGCATGGGGTCATGATGTTCCTTTAAATAGAAGCATCTATGCGTGATGCGACGCCGGCGGCGTGTCCTGACTCTAGGAAACCGGAGCAGTTCTTCGTTCAGTATGTTCGAAAAAGGTGGGTGTGCCGCCGTATGCATGCGTTCAGTGGCAGACAATCGTCACAACGAGCAAATATTCTACTTTGTCACGCCCAGACGTTTCGAAACGAAATACGAGTGATATGCGGCATCTATGCGGGTAAACGTACCTGCGTTATGCACGCATCGCAGCAATTGACAATGCATTAATAGCGGGATTCAGGGCTGGGCAAAAAGTTTCGCATAACGGAACGTGTTTGGGGGGATTAATTATCAACATCGGTCGTGAAGCGGTGTAGCCAAGTTGCATGCGTGACCCTCGAAACTGGTGGCAACTACTTTTTAAATGCATGCCGGCTCCGCGCCTGACCTAATGGGAAATTTCGTCTCATAGCATAGCAGGAGACACCCGCGCGACAGAGCTGTGCTTCACGACCAAAAAGTCCAATCCAACGTCCCGAGTTGACAATAAAACGGTCACGGAAACCGCTGGACTCTGGTTTGTTTATGGAAAGTCATGCACGCCTGAGGCACTCCAGTGACATTGGCGTTATATTCAAATGAAACTGTACAATCAACCATGACGCAAGAGAGTAACTGTATTGCATTTTAGTGAGCTGGAGCGACCCTGATAATGCGCGGGTGACACCAAATCAACTTGTCAAACCAACGAAGGTAGGGAAAAGCCATCGTCTAAAGTCAGACGAGCATTGTATTTTAGCAAGATGCAGAGACACCGGGGGTTCGCGAGTATGACAAGCTAAAATTGTCAAAGAAGCAAGGCCAGAAAAACAAAGCAAAGGCGAGCACAAGTCGGCGTTTGTATCATAAAGTATTTTACGAACATTTTGGTAGCTTGTCCAGCGCGTGAAACTGACGCGGGTGTGTCGACCGGGAATATTCCGGGACCGTGATCAGATAGGTGGGACTGATTCCAGGTTGGTGTGCGTATTAGTTATCTAGCAGTGGTAAGCAGGTTAGTAGAAAAACAGTTGCCCATTACTGTGCGAAAATGACTGCCGTGTCTTTAAATCTGTGAAAACTATGTGCTCATATAATTTCTTTGTTTAACAGAATGTGGTGCATGCTCACCTTACCAGCAGTTCTATCTGTGCTGCAAACTACAATGGCTGCACCATTGGTGGTGAATACCTGGGGTTTCACCAATGCCACTGAAACAGGTATGATTGAGAGAGGTGTGCTACAGTTAATTTGATACTTAAATGGAGCCCAAACGGTTCATGCTTTTTGACATCATCTAGTGTGGCTAAAGGTCACTATGGTGTGATTGCACCACATTAAATGCTCAGAATATCACTTAGGGGAAAACATGGTATTTACATATAACAATTGGCATATATTTTTGTGAGTGCACATGCCTATATATATATATATATATATATATATATATATATATATATATATGTGTGCATGTCTGTATGTGTGTGTGTGTGTGTGTGTGTGTGTGTGTGTGTGGGTGGGTGGGTGGGTGCGTGCGTGCGTGCGTGCGTGCGTGCGTGCATGCGTGCGTGCTGCGTGTGTGTGTTTGTGTCCATGTGCATGCAGGCATGTGTTTGTGCTACTTGTGAAACTTTCATTTCATCATTTAGCTGTCTTGTTGAACCTGCTAAGTGGCCACCAATGGCACATCACTTGACACTACTTCCTAGTCTGCACCTCCCACTGGGACCAACCAGACCAACGTGGGCCATGGCCACTTAACAGTCATTCAGTGTACCCTGAGTCATCAGGGGCTATCACTGCCATCCATTGCGGCAGCTTGGCAGGTGCTGATGGCGGCGGGCTCGGCGCTGGATGCCGTGGAGATCGGGTGTACCACCTGCGAGAAGCTGCAGTGCGACGGCACGGTCGGCTTCGGCGGTAGCCCAGACGAGAACGGCGAGACCACGCTGGATGCCATGATCATGGACGGGTACGCAGGCGGACGTGAGCGGGTGTGTGCGCCGACCGCGTCCGGTCCGGCGTTAGGTGTCGCGCGGTGCGGTAGCAGCGGGTCCACGGTACCCCACGCCTCACCAAAGCCGGGTGCAGTGATGCATGATTAACCATCAGCTGCGGCTAGGGGCAAGGCCAAACCTTTGGCAAGGAGGTGGGGGTGGTGGCGGGGGGGGGGGGGCACAGGGTTGACAAAAGGCCTCCTGATAGTGACAGCCCCCCCCCCTCCACAACAAAATCGTTGGATATATCCCATTCATTGATGAAGGCAGGATTTCTTTGTTACTTCTTCATTTTTACCTTCTATAAGCGGAACAGAAACCAGAAGCTACCGCCAGATCAATTCTGTCGAAATTTTATAGCCAATAAACTGAATAAATCACGTGTTATGCGGCCCTCTACATTTGTTGAGGCCCTTCCAATTCCCTGTCACTTGTGGAGGGCTCTATAGTCTTGCTGGGGGCCCCATCTTTTAGCCTGTTCGGGCACACTCGATCGTTCGGGGTCCATCACACTCGGTCTTTGGCACTTCCCATTGGTTTTTGAGGGCCCCTTGCTTTTGACTGGACCCCATCTGTCAATCCGCTGGGGCGCACTCCACGTTGGGTCTTGGGAGCGTCCTATTTGAGTGGAGGGCCTTTCCTCTTGTCGGGGACCCCCATGTGTAACCTGCTCGGGCACACTCGGTTGTGTGGAGGCCCTACACATCAGGTCTTGAGTACTTCCTATTTGAATGTAGAGTCTGGGCACAGTAGGGTTCTACATCTGCCACTATCCGGTAGCATGCCTGGGCACTCTTAATCAATCAAGGGCCCTCCACGGATTCTTCGCACGCGCCCGAAAGGCTTTATACAATTTCCCGGGCCCCATATGCCGGGGCACACTCGGTTGCTGAAGGTTCCTCCATATTGGTATCGGGTTCTCTCCGCTTGTTTGGAGGGCCCTGTGCTGTTGCTGTGGTTCATATGACGTAACGCGCCGAGGCACTCAATAATCAGGGATCCTCTACATTGACCTAAGGCTCTTTCCCTTAATTCATGTACACTAGACCTGGGTCATTTACTCCCTTTGCTGAGAGGGCCCTGGGCTCTGGCCAAGGCCCTTTATGTTAGCCTGCCGGTGTACTCCCGATCGTTTAGGGGACCCTCTATACTGGTCTTGGGTTCTTCTCGCTTGTTCTGACGACACTGCGCTGCTGACGGGAGCCCATTTATTTGACGTGACCGGGGCCCGAACCCCAGACCGACAGGCCAAGAGCAGAGCGCCGTAACAGTTACACCACCACCGCCGCGGACCTAAATCCCAATCTGCCGGAACATTCCTGATCTCGCTCCAGGATCTCGCTCTCGCATTGGTCGTGGGCTCTTCTGATGAATTCAGTAGGACCTTATTATGTTGCCGAAAGCACCACGCGTGCTTGCGAGCGCCGAGGCGATCCGCCTGCTCTTGTATACGGGCCCAACTAAATTACTTCGCGTACCGAGAATCCCGAGACCACAGGGTGACGGTTTCCCGTGGCCCCTTAGCCTTAGAGCAGCAGTCAGATATGCGCCGATAAATTTGTGCGCTTAATTGTTGAACAAAATTATGCGTGCCGCCGACGTCATGCGTGTTATTTCCGTTGGTTATTGAATTCGTAACGTAATACTTGTCCATCATGTCCTCATGCGTGTCGAATGCTAGGATATTTTGTACTCTTTCATAAAAGTCAAAGCAAACTGGATTAGTCATCAGCTATCAGCTGATCACATCAACTGGCCAGCTAGCCGTACATAAGCTGGGAATCAAGTTCGTGATTGATTTTAATGGTGTTCAGCAGCCAGCTTTAGTGAATTTTGCCATGTTTTCTCTGGAACACCCGGCCTCAAAATGACAGGATCCACCACATTTTGTATCGTCCGTGTCTGTACCGAGCTACGGCACCCCCCCCCCCCCCCTTCTTCCTGCACACAGCAGGCCAATGGTGTACCCTGTGTATCGCACGCGGCGCCTCATGGGACAGCGCGGTCAGTCACAACAGAACCCGCTGCTGCCAGGGCCACGATGAAGGTGGGGGCCGTGGGCTGCCTACGGCGCGTCAAGAGCGCGGCGTCAGTGGCGCGCGCCGTCCTCGAGCACACGCGCCACACGCTGCTGGTCGGCGAGCTGGCCACCCAGTTCGCCGTCCAGATGGGCTTCCATGAGGAGAGCCTCGAGACTAAACACTCGCGCCAACTGTACGAGGACTGGAAACGGAGAAGCTGCCAGCCCAACTTTTGGACGGTATGAGCTGTGTTGGGACACTGGAGCTGGTCTTCAGGGCAAAATCGACTGTAACAGAAACCGATTTATGGCTAGTGCGTTTTTGAGTGGCAATGCGATCCTTTGGAGTAAAGGTTCTCCAGTGTTTGAAAGGCGCAAGTTGCGAGTCCTACACTGTTCATCAAAGCGCAACGTTGTATCAGTGCGTTTTTGGTCGCCGTTCCGCGCCGTCGCAAGGACGCATACCTCCGCTTCAGAATGTGGAGCCTGACCCATCGGACTCGTGCGGCCCGTACCGCCGCGGCCGGGCAGCGCCACAGCAGCACGAGCCGTCCTGGGCGGGCCCGGCCAGCCACGACACCATCGGCATGGTGGCCATCGACGGCCGTGGCCAGATGGCCGCCGGCACCAGCACCAACGGAGCTATCCACAAGATACCCGGGTAACGAGAGGGCGCAGAGCGGGCTCCCGGCTCACGAGGGCTGCCGCTGGCTTTATACCCGCTAAACAAACTTGTATGATCTCGTTTATACTATAGCCCACGGCCGTCCTCCGCTGCCCCCCGCCCCTCCCACTCGAGAGCCGTGGCCGCCCTCTGCCTCCCCCCCCCCGCACTCCACAGCCGTGGCCTTCCTCCGCTGCCCCCCCGCCCCTCCCACCGAGAGCCGTGACCGTTCTCCGCTGACCACCCCCCGCACTCCATAGCCGTGACCGTCCTCCGCTGCCCCCCGCCCCTCCCACTCGAGAGCCGTGGCCGCCCTCTGCTGACCCCCCCCCCCGCACTCCACAGCCGTGGCCGTCCTCCGCTGGCCCCCCCCCCCGCCCCTCCCACCCGAGAGCCGTGACCGTTCTCCGCTGACCACCCCCGCACTCCATAGCCGTGGCCGTCCTCCGCTGCCCCCCCCCCCCCCGACCCTCCCACTCGAGAGCCGTGACCGTTCTCCGCTGACCACCCCCCGTACTCCATAGCCGTGGCCGTCCTCCGCTGCCCCCCGCCCCTCCCACTGGAGAGCCGTGGCCGCCCTCTGCTGACCTCCCCCCCGCACTCCATTGCCGTGGCCGTCCTCCGCTGCCCCTCGCCCCGACCCTCCCACCCGAGAGCCGTGACCGTTCTCCGCTGACCACCCCCCGCACTCCACAGCCGTGGCCGTCCTCTGATGCCCCCTCCCACTCCAGAGCCGTGGCCGTTCTCCGCTGACCACCCCCCGCACTCCATAGCCGTGGCCGTCCTCTGATGCCCTCCCCCCCTCCCACTCCATAGCCGTGGCCGTCCTCTGATGCCCTTCCCCCTCCCACTCCATAGCCGTGGCCGTCCTCTGATGCCCCCTGCCACTCGAGAACCGTGGCCGTTCTCCGCTGACCACCCCCCGCACTCCATAGCCGTGACCGTCCTCCGCTGCCCCCCGCCCCTCCCACTCGAGAGCCGTGGCCGCCCTCTGCTGACCCCCCCCCCCCCCGCACTCCACAGCCGTGGCCGTCCTCCGTTGCCCCCCCCCCGCCCCTCCCACCCGAGAGCCGTGACCGTTCTCCGCTGACCACCCCCGCACTCCATAGCCGTGGCCGTCCTCCGCTGCCCCCCCCCCCCCCGCCCCTCCCACTCGAGAGCCGTGACCGTTCTCCGCTGACCACCCCCCGTACTCCATAGCCGTGGCCGTCCTCCGCTGCCCCTCGCCCCTCCCACTGGAGAGCCGTGGCCCGCCCTCTGCTGACCCCCCCCCCCCGCACTCCATTGCCGTGGCCGTCCTCCGCTGCCCCTCGCCCCGCCCCCCCCACCCGAGAGCCGTGGCCGTTCTCCGCTGACCACCCCCCGCACTCCACAGCCGTGGCCGTCCTCTGATGCCCCCTCCCACTCCAGAGCCGTGGCCGTTCTCCGCTGACCACCCCCCGCACTCCATAGCCGTGGCCGTCCTCTATGCCCTTCCCCCCTCCCACTCCATAGCCGTGGCCGTCCTCTGATGCCCTTCCCCCTCCCACTCCATAGCCGTGGCCGTCCTCTGATGCCCCCTGCCACTCGAGAACCGTGGCCGTTCTCCGCTGACCACCCCGCACTCCATAGCCGTGGCCGTCCCCTGCTGCCCCCTCCCACTCGAGAGCCGTGGCCGTTCTCCGCTGACCCGCCTCCCTCCTTCCGCCAGCCGCGTGGGAGACAGTCCAGTGCCCGGCGCCGGCGCGTACGTGGACGGCGAAGTGGGCGGCGCCGTGGCCACCGGCGACGGTGACGTCATGATGCGCTTCCTGCCGAGCCTGGTGGCGGTGGAGGCAATGCGCGCGGGCGCGGCGCCGACCGACGCCTGCCGCGCCGCCATGGCGCGCATTGTGGCGCGCCACCCGGACTTCGTCGGCGCGCTGGTGGCCGTGGCGCGAACCGGAGAGCACGGTGCCGCCTGTCACGGACTGGAGAGCTTCCCGTACAGCGTGGCTGAAGGCGGGCGGGCTGGCGCGCGCGTGGTGCGTGTGAGCTGCCAGTAAGGCGCCGACTGGCACTCTGCGTGGATGTCAGACCCTCCTTTACGGCTCACTGCGTCCGCCGCTACTTACCCCTGGTCACGTGATGGCCCGATCTAGCGAGGTCGGCGATGCGGGTTGAGGCTGGTTGACGAGCACCAGTTTGGTCACGTGGCACCTGGCTTGTGGTTGGGCCTGCTCGCGGACGGCCGCGACAGTAGGCTCCGTCTGTGTCTGAGCTTTCAGCATCTGGCCGAGTCCGTCGCAAGACTCTGTAATCCAGTCTGCCAGCGGGTCCCTTGTGCGCGGGTGTTGAATCAGGGTCGATTTAATTTGTTACAGTACAGTTTTTTCTTGAATGTTCCTTACCAACTCGCTATATGCTGCATTTCAGCAGACAATTGTAACTGCGGCATGAAATGTGGCATACAATACGTTAACATTTGCTGCATCGTGAACCGACCGCTAACTCTTCATTCGATTTCAGTTCACGCGCTGGCACGCAGCGGCGCTGGCTATCAAGCGCCAGAGTGTACTTGTCATGACTGCCCGCCCACTGTTGGGAACCATGGCCGCGCGGCCGCTGGTGCGTTGCCGCGCGTGCGGCCGGTCAGATGGGTGACGGGCCACCTTGCTCGTGTCCCTTGTGATCCTTCCTGACCATTGCTCAACAGAAGTATACAAAAAGTACCTCTTCTAGTATCGTAAGTATACGGAAGTATCCCTAGCGGTGGACCGCGATGCTCGCTGCCAGAACGCCAAATGACCATACGGAAAGTGGGCGGTTTTGCTGGTGTGTGTGTGTGTGTGTATGTTGCATCTTATGACCATCATGAAACGTGGAAACATGTAACCCGTTCTGCTGCGGGTAATTGAACTCAGTAGTGCCAAACTACTGAATGATGCAGTGTCTTTCAGTACTATTCTTTTCCCATGCGGAACAATGTTTCAAGTAAGACTATGCTCAGACCTTGACATTTCAGGACAGCAATGTGTCTTGCTTTGTTTAATGCTCCAGTGAAATTCATATGTCGACGTAGGTAGGTCAACTGGAAAATGGATGTTGATACGAAGCGCCGTTTCTCGGGCAGCCATGCCCAGGTGATGCTCGGAAACGATAGTACGTGTTACGGGTACATTGAATGATAAACTGCAACATCCGTACGGATTTCCTAGAGAATTGGCTCCCAACTGTTAGGCGGAGAAAAGGCCTGACATCAGGTGCTACCTGCGGGTTTGGATATGGATCTGCTACACCTGGCTAGTTGGTATTGGTATCTCAGCAATAGCACACGTCACCATCCCAGTAGCACAGCCTGCTCCCCATGTGTTACTGATCGAACCAACGCCCGGCCCGCGGCATCAGGCAAAACACGCTGGCTGGGCTGAAGACGATGTGTATGACGAGAGTGTTTCGCCTGCATTGGCCTGCGACCCAAGCGATCATCGATAGACGGCATCACATGCGCAGATCTCATGTCGCAGCATACGCGCAGCGTGTCCGCTCGGACCGACCGAGGCAAGCCAGCTCGACTTGTGTACAGCACTGTCACTGGAGGGGCCGATCCCGGCCGCGTCACAGTAGACCCAGCTGCTTCTCCACCACGGCGTGCGGGAGCCCCATCACTTCGGAGCCCTCTACGGCGCCGAGGTAGTCGCTGAAGTCTGCAAACAGAGACATCGGCCATTGAACATAACTATTAGATCAGACAACATAAGGTACACATACGGCCCCAGGTCGCGACGGTCGTGAACATTGGGAAGGAACCCCAGCGTGCATCAAAGCACTGCCGCTATACGAACCGGTCACAAGCTACGCTTTCTACGCGCATCGACGGCGCAAACAACCACGGAAGCTACATCAACAGTTCACCCCGTCCGTGTGCCGTTGAACCGCAGGCCAGTGCCACTTCACCCGCGGCGCGGGGCCAGGTCAGGTGGTGCTCACCGAGCGTCTCGTCGCGGCCGGTCAGCGTATCGGCCATCAGGTTCGAGGAGCGCATGAACGGCAGGCGGCCGACGCGGCCGGCGGCGCGCAGCTCGGCCTGCTGGCGGAGTGGCGCGTGCACGCCCTGCACGCGGCGCAGCCAGTCGCCGCGCAGCTCGGCCTCCAGCCGCTGGCTGCGCGCCACGGACGCCTGCACCGGGTGCACCTGGGCGCCAAGCTGCGGCCGGCCGGCGTCCAATCCCAGCGTCAGTCGGTCGGCGGCAGCGCCATACTCACGCCTCTCTGACATCTGCCGCAGTGGGTGCACCAGCCACTCAGTAATCTTATTCCACAGCAGGGTGCTCTGATGTCTGACTTCGTGTGACAATGGTGATTATTGGGGTTAAGAGCACACAAACCACCATGGTCATTTCAGCCCTTATGTGTGACATCTAAGATTTTGAAGAAATGTGTGGTCAGATACAGATGTAATTCAGGGGCTGCCTGTCAATCCCACTTCTGGCATAACAGAGCAATAATGAAAACAATGGCATAGGTGGGAGCACCCTACAAGATTTATAGCTTCCACCTATGTTATGCACTTATGTTATGCACTTATGTTAAGCCGTATGGTTTGCCTGTTGCTCTGTATAGTTGTTGAATGCTAAAAGCAAACCTGGAATTTTAGCATTGGATCCCAAGGCTGAGAACCAGGCACAAAATCTACAGCACTTATTGGGAGAAACAAAATTAAACTGTGGATATGCACCAGCATATAAGCCACCCACCAATATAAATAATGCTAACAAACCAGGTCATTGGCATTTTGGCACCAGCTTATCTTCCAGCATGTGGGTGTGTGTCATTGAGGCTTTTCACAACGCACTCAGCTACTGAGGCTATATGGCGTTGCCTGCCTCTCACCCTGGCAGGAAGGGCGGGCACCTGGTTTCCCAGGCGCGCAGCGGTTAATGCAGATGCGTTAACCACTGCACTACCAGCACCCTACTTATCATCCAGCCTTTGTCATGCATGCATAATTGATTTTTAAGCCAAACCTATATGCTCCCTAATATACAGACATTTGAATCTTCCCCAAACTGCATGCAGGCTTCAAAAGTACCTCACTAATGCTCAGGAATGATGCATACATGCATTTTGCTATTGACTGTCCAGTGGGCAGTGCCCAATGATGATAGACAAGCAGCCTAAAACAATCAATACAAAATATAAAAGATGTGAACTTAGTCTTAACTGCATGCATGACTCATTCCATTGGCAGAGGTGCTAAAACTTTTGAATTACACAGTTCACAATTTTGATAACAGGTTGCCTGTGGTCACACAACTTTGACAAGGCACAACACAACTCACACAACTTTGGCATGTGGCAAAGGATATGGCACGGCATGGAGCAGATATTCTGATTGTATGGCACAGTAAAGGTTACCAGCACAATGCAACTACACATTCTAGAACATCGCAAAAAAACACTGCATAACATGTTCTCTTGGTGAGCTGGCCATGATCCCTCCATGACAATTATATAATAATACACCAATTTCTGAGATCCCACAGGCCACACACATACATAATTAGGTGTAGGTGTACTTTCCTACCTGACGTTAGAAAAACTCATTGCACACCATTCGCGTGTTTAAAGCGGCACATATCGGAAATAATCTCAAAACAGGTAGAATCATGCTCCTACCTTCGAATTTCAATAACTTCGATGGCGGGCTCCCGAGAGCCGCGCGAACCGCACCGCCTGGACTCCCCAGCGCCGTTTCTGCGTTGCCGTTGCGTAAATACAATATTTCTGCTTACCAAGAACTCTACAAAATGCACGGAACCAAGGTAAACCATTCATCGTGTTTAAGGCGGAACATATCGTAAATAATTTCAAAACAGGTAGAATCATGCTCCTGCCCTCGAATTTTAATAAATACGATAGCGAGCTCCCGAGCGCCGCACGCACCGCACCGCACCGCCTCGACTCCCAAGCGCCGTTTCTGCGTTGTTGCGTAAGCACAATATTTCTGCTTATCAAGAACCATAAAAAATGTACGGGACCAAGGTAGCAGTGATAAAGCAACCAAAATCATTTCTTATCAAGTTTAGGTACGTTCATGAAACACACAGACCAAAATAGTGCAGAGCACATCCTAAATTAGTCTAACCTAACCCAACCTAACCTAACCTACCAGATCAAATTTCATGGATTCTTGTTACCTTGGTCCATACATTTTTATGGTTCTTGATGCTGCTTGATGCGCAGCAATGTTGTGACAGCGCGCAGTAATGGCACTGATGTCGCGGGTGCTGTGTGTGTGGGGCGCTCGGGAGCTCGCCATCGTAATTATAAAAATTTGAAGGTAAGAGCATGAATCTACCTGTTTGTGATTATTTACGATATGTCCTGCCTTAAACACGGCGAATGGTGTACAATGATTTGTTTGAACATTACGTAGGAAAGTACACCCTGACCCATAATTGGTTAGCAACATCACAAAGTGTAACTGGAGAGCTAAAAACAATATTGCACAAAATATTTGGGATGATGTTCAGGCAGCCACAGCCAACATCCAGTACCTAGGTCATGGTACACATTGGTGCATGACACAACAATATCACACCATTCCCCAATGGATATTCTTAAGAATCAGACCCCATAAATAGTCATGAAGCAAGAACATTTCATGGAAATCTAATCAGCTTACCCTCCAAATATAAAAATCACAATAACAATGACAGGGGTCAGTCATGGATCATGCCACACTAATATCACTAATACTGACAGGACATGGTTTTGCAGGGGATTGATTGGGGGAGTTGTCAGCTGACAATAGCATGGTTGGGTTGGGTTAGGATAGGTTAGTTTAGGTTATATTATTAGGCTATGTTGTGTCATGCTAGGTTAGGTTAGATTTGATTAAGTTGGGCTGTTAAGTTAAGCTAGGCTAGATTAGGCTAGGTTAGGTCAGATCACTAGCTTAGGCTAGGTTAGGTAAGGTTAGGATACATTCTGGTGTCATTTCATATTTTCTTTAAAAGGCTGTATTCTCAGAGGAACTGCAAGTTGACTATCTTATATCAATGGTGCCAAAGTGTTTCGTCTCTGGAGAGCTCGGAAGTTCCCTACTGGTAATATTAAAGGTTGAAGGTAAGGGTGTAGATGTATCGATTGAATGATTATTTACATTTGCTACCTTAAAGAAGCCGATTTATGTGCAATGGCCCATCGTAACATAAGGTACTTAGGTTAACCTACTATGTCGAGACGTTGTAACATTATCATTATCATTGACCGGGACAACGGCGCGAGCAATACTTGCATCTCAAAGTTAATTGAATTGAGCATACTGGCCTGGTACTGATTGCCCCTCCTGCAACGTAACGCTTACTCACCTTTATTAATAAATTTTTGGAACGGTTTCACCCGGGCAATTCCGGAACTCCAACCAGGGAACACCAACACCCCGAACGAACCCCACACGATGAGCTTGACCTGAATGAGTTGAAGGTTTTTGAGGCTGGTTGTAATGTACACCAAACCATGAGCAAAAAATACTAAATGTTGGTTAAATTTACCAAAAACTCTACTGCAACAACAAAAACATGTTTCAGGTATATTGATCAGACAATTTTTTTGCAAAACTTTACACATGATTTATAATCTGCTTTCTACGAGAATGACTTATGGCTAGTTAAGCTCATTGGGCTCAGCTTTTCAACCAGGGACGAAGCCGTTTGAACTGAGTACTGAAAACCATCAAGATATACGAAATCGTTGCACTTTGCGCTACATCATGCTGAATCCCTCGCGTGGTGCACCTTCCGCTTGCTTTAGTACAAATGTTCCTAAACACACTGCCCTCGACTGAAATTACTTCGCTGTCTTCGAGGTCTAGGCTCTAGAAATGCCATTTTTCGAAGGACGTTGACCATCATAATGAAGCATGGCTTGGTTGCCCAAGGCCCTAGACAAATGTTGCCCCCCCGCCCCTGGATCCGTCCTTGATTTCGTCTCGCAGAAATTGGTACCTGTGAGGTACCGTGCGAAATATGATCATCTCGATCTAGAGAGAAGCGGACGGGATTGCAGCGGTATGGAGAATTGTTTTCGAGATATTTCTGTTCACAGAACTCTAGAATGCCAGCCGATTTCGTCGCAGTCAAAATCCGATTTGACCCAGGGCAATATAACACCGGGTACTCCAAAGTTTTGACTAGTAGGTATCGACACATACTATAAGTATACCAGAATCGGGATTAACACCAGATTTAGGATGTTGTACCAAAAGTTGGCAGTGCCGTGCTAGCGGCATCTTTGGTTTGTTTGTTGCGATTAAATGTAATCACATTTCTCAGTCGCAAAACACTTGAATTGTGGTGCAGTATTGGGGATCGTGGTTAGAGGATCAGATTGTGAAGTAATTTCAAATGCCTCTGGGCTAATCAGATGTATGTTGTTTGTTGCCAAGTCACATTATGTCTCAGTTTACATATTATGACTCATTTGAACATTCTGCAGCAAAACTGACAATGTAATGATTCAGTTTCTGCACAACTTGCCAGTTATGAATGTTATGACGTAGGCTACCGTCTGTTGAATGCTTGTGGAATGCTGCATGCAAAGTGCTTTGCCAAGGTGTGCTCAGGTATATTTATGTTGGAGCTAAGGGTCTTGTTATTTTTCAATACATGAATATCGAGAGTGTTGTCTGATTGGCATTTGAATATTCCACATAAGCATTGATAGTCTTTGTCCACAGTGGCATTACCACCCATGAAATGGACCAACCAGTAATAATGTCAGTTTAGCACAGCTGTGTGATTGCATTAGATGTGTTTATTGAGACATGAAAGGCACTATAATGTAACAGAAATGTTTGGTATGAGGCAATGTTGTGCACATACATGATATGCCATTTCACCAAAGGAGTTATCTGCCTGCACTGTTTAGAAAAGTTCATGTTGTGTCAAAAATTGTCTGAGTTTTCTGGCATAATTTGACTTATGTGAAATCATAAGTTATGTTTTTTCAGATCAGAGGAATCAATGTGTGTGGCATATTGGTGGGCTGTGCTGAGGGCAACCCTACCTTGCCTCCACCTAATGCGTGCTTTTATTGTGTCTGGACACCTCATTTTGATTTAAGGCTACTTAAAGTTGTAGCTTTGTGTCTTTCCTTCAAAAGTCCAGCCAGTGTCATCAAATAATGCCCAAAGCAGGTCATCATGATGTGATAGTCACTTTTACCTTAGTTTGTTTTGTAATATTCTAGCAACAATATGGGAAGGGCAAGCCAACATTTGCTCATGCATTTCAACATTGTTGGAGGAGGTCACCATCACAAAATGCAATCACTCCATGCAACTGTATGTAGCATAAACCTGACATTGAACAATAACCTGTGCCTGGTAAATATATCCAATGTAAGCAGCAAATGCTGTAGTTAATGTATTTAATGGATGCATTGGTTTGTGTTGTACCTGAAATGTACAGTTAGTCAGCAAGATAGATCATCTTTATGATTTATGACAAGTCTCATGCTGAAATAATTAATCATGTATGATACAGGGCTATCAGAATAATTCTAACATCATAGAATGTCTGCTTATGCAAGGGAAGTTTTCAGATTTGTGAAATTTATAGAAACTGATGTTTTGTGTCAAATATTACAATATTCTGAATGCTAGTTGTAACCCTGTCCTCAGCACTATCTGTTACACAACATCATTGCATAATTTATATCAACACAATTTCCTCATAACAATATGAGGAAATGGTGAGAACAGGGTGGTACATAAATATTATATCAATGCAACATGTTGCATTTATATGAAAATGTGCATAACTGGGGCATGGTTTGGGTCAATCCAAAGTCCATTGATAGTTTGTTTTGCCTTGGGCCAAGGCTGCATATGTTTCAGATACTGATGCACCTTCTAAATCTGTCTAAGCTGCCCATTTCACTTCAGCTGCTTAGGTGTACCTTTCCTACTCTGAGGTTAATGGATGGAAGGTAAAGTTATATGGCCAGCCTTGGACCGCTACCGTCGCGATAGGTTCCATGCGTCAGGCACAGTAATGCTATGCGCCCCAGCCATAGCTGTTGCATGTAGCCCGACGGCTGCGTAACACCTGTCAGGTATATTTGATAGATATAAAAAGATTTCATGTGTATTTCTTGTAATAGCTTGCAGCATATTTCACGGCACAGCAGATGCATTTTCAGGCTATACATAATATGCATATATATGCACACGATATATATATATATATATATATATATATATATATATATATATATATATATATTATCAGAATTCAGGGATTCGATCCCACGCCCGGACGTCGTGGGGCGTGCATGGGTCTGCGCTTTGCCTGATAGCTCGAAAACGAGTGCCACGGCGCACGCTTTTCATCTTGGAAATCGAAAGAAAATTGTTCAAACTTTATTCCTATGCACTTTTTATGCATATATATGTTCAAGATTTGGAAAGCCGTGGGCCTAAAGGTCATTTTAACATGGGAACCCTGCGGCTAGTTGTGAAATGTGCGCCGTTGCTGCCATATTTTATACTAGATTGGACCCCCAGGTTTGGCCATTTGAGGTACAATTGTGAAACATGTGGTCGCCTTCCGACGGCCCATGAGGACAGTTGTGAGTTTTTGCCCCGATGGTCGCGTGCGCTTGAATGTTGCGTACTTTGGTTACTCTCGAAATAAGCTAGCGAGGCTGCACCAAAACTATGAACCCTCTATTCTGCTGGCGTATAATCATGCGATCGAGTAAAATTTGCTCAGTTGATGGCTTGGGTTGGGTCCAGCAGCAAAATCTATGGTAGGTGCTACTCTTCTAAAAATATGTGTATAAGGCACACAAACAGCTTTACTTCCACATTTTAAATGCAGGCATTCATCGTACTCATGGTGAATGCTGTCAAGCCTATTGCAGTCTGTGGATGGACACAGCAAAATGTCTGCTATTTTTAGCACTCACTGATCAGTTAAATTCTTATCATCTCATGCCACTAGTTAACAAATGAAGTTGTCATTTTGATTTCCTACAGTATTATTTGGAACATCGCACCACCTGAAATTTGTGTGAGTCACAGTGTACAGATGTTAGATAGAAGTTCATGCATTCATGCAAATGCATTATTTATGATCTGAATTCATCTTTCTGGTGATACCTTTTTGCTGTAGAACATGTTTTGCTCTGTTTCAAGGGTTTACAACAAGTTATACCTGCACATGACAGTTGATTCTTGTAAGCTGAAGTTTACAAATTGTGTAGTGCTTGCAAGGTGTCAAATGCCAGGCCCCAGCTGCAGCCAACAGAGCGTTTGCTGATTGCCTAATTTCTGTAATTGTTTCCTCAAACCAGGAATATTTTGAGAGGAAGATTATATGCTGCTACCAGCATTCCAGGCTCAGCTGAAGTGCTGGACATATCCCATATCCCAGCCGAGAGGACCCGCAACTTCAGTGTTATTGCACACATTGACCATGGCAAGAGCACCCTGGCAGACAGGCTACTAGAGATCACTGGTGAGAGACTTCAGCAGGCATAATGTGTTGGGTGTGTTCCATGTTGGTGTGCAGTTTTGAGATGAAGTGGCCATTATGAAGATCATTCAGTGCAGTGCCCAGCCCAGTCCTGTCCTTCTGAAGACTTAACCCCCTGGTTTCTGAGCTAGATGTCTGTGAACTGATGCATACTATTGTGTGTGCACTATCCCAAAGTCACCACAGCATACATAATGCCCCAGCAACATTACACAAGTACTGCAATTCCATTGGCCATGTAGTGTTCAAAGTCATGATAAATATGAATATGGGGTTATTTTTATTTGGTGAACAACATCAGCATGATATCTAGCATCAACATAATCATTTGGCTGTCAACCAATGTTATATGCTCAGGTCGGTGTAGAGGACCTGGATAGCCACACAATGTCAGATGCCTCTACAGTGGGGTTAAGCCCATGTGCGAGATGTGCATGGTCATTGTGATATGCAATGGAAGGGTCTCTAGTGGGCCCACCCAAGATTAGAGGTCACCTGGCAGTGCCCCTTGGTGTATATAAGCTGACACATACTGGTGGCAGCAGAGACCAGGTGCGACCATGCTGCGAACCTGCGTTGCTTACACAACCGCGATGAGTGCAACCATCTTGTGGCCATAATGTAGGTAACGTTTTCATGTTATATTTTTAATGGATGGGGAGAAGAAGAATGCAAACAAGCAGGTGAAGCAATACACCCCTCTAGTCATTCAAATGTTTCAGGGCATTATCAAACAATGGAAATGTGGGGAGCACATTTGTTATATGAATAGCTGCAGATGAGCCTATTTCATCATGTGTGATGCCTGCCTCACTGTCTTTAGATGCAGAACATTTGACTCATTCATGCCCGTTGGAACATACAATTTGAGAAGACTGCTCTAGACAGCTCAATTTATCTGTTTAGCAAATATGCTGCTCAATGTGCTATTGCTTAATTACATCATCATACCATGTACAATAATGATTGAGAGCCAATTGGCAATCATTATGTCAGGAAATTGTGCTCACGAACGCTAGAAATGAACGAGATTTGAATGGCGTTAAGAATGCCCGAGTGACCTTGAAACATCTCCCTGTAACAGCCGGCTCGTCTTCGTGGGCGTGTAGCTCAGAAACTGGAGGGCTTTAGGCATTAAGAAGGACAGGGCGGTTAATTGTATCAAATGATTTTCAACATGACTAGTTCATTCCAAACCCTCATTCAGATATGAAAGACTATGTTTAAGAGGAATGGCACACTTGAAAGCATTGGAGCAAGCATGAGATAGGATGAAATAAGCTCATTTATAACTATTGGTGTACTTAGTGGGAAAGATTGCTCTAGACAACACCACTTCTCATTCTAGTAAATATGCCCCCTAATACGTCATTGTTTTATTATATCATCATACCTTCCACGACATTGATTAAGATGGCCGTTTTGTCTCGAAATCGTGCATATGAACACCAGATGTGAACAGTTTCAACAATAACATCTTTATTGTCCCCTTTCGCCTCATGGGTAATGGAATCGCAGGACATTAATGACGTTGCTGTGGTGTCACGTATGCCGTGGTGACTGTAGTATCATGTATGTGGTGTCATGTGTGCTGTAATGTCATGTATGAACAGTACGACAATGACATCTTGACTGGCCTTTATCGCCTCATGGGTAATGGAATCGCAGGACATGAATGACGTTGCTGTAGTGGCATGTATGCCTTAGTGATCTTGAAATGGTCTCCCTAAAAAAGTCCGCGAATCTTCACCGGCGTGTTGATCAGAAACTAGAAAAAAGTTTGGGTACTTAGAAAGGCGGAGCTGTCAACTGCACCGAATAATCTTCAAGATGGCTATTGCAGTTCAAAACCCCATACAAATGTGGAACACACCTTTTAAATGGAGCATTCCATCTATTCGAGCTTTTCACTTATTGTGAGATCAGACGCATGCAGTTTGATTGATAATACCAGCTTTTTTAGACTCCTGAATAGCTCAGAATTTGGATCGAGAGTAGCCACTTCTGCGGGACAAATTTCGTTGTGCTTCCTGCTCCCCACTATGAAAGAAATGCATTTCAGCTGCCTTTCTTTCTCCACTGTGTTTGTTCTGTAATGTTTGCAGTACTAATTTTACAAAATGTTGGTGTCATGAATGTTACTGTAAGGCAGAGCTTACATTTGACTTATACCGCGTGTAGATATTCCTTTATCTTTTGTTAGTATCGTCCCTTTTGTATTCCATCTCTCTCCCCCCGTCCCAGTTCCCTCCTACTTTGCATAACAGCTGGTTCTCCACATGTAAGGCAGAGGGCAAGCGACGAGTCAGCCGGCTACAAGGCGTCTGAGTGCACAGGCTGCGCCGGAAGGGCGCGAAGAAGCTTATCCAGAGCGCGAGGCAGCTAGGGAGAGGGTGACCCGTTGGGGCCGCATCCCACGCCGCTCTCGTGTGCGCCGCACTGGGGTCGACAGACCACCAGCGGACGACCAAGAAAGACCTGTGCAGAGCCGAGCCAGCTGATGCAACCGCCAGCCTTGTGAGCAAGTTCGGAGTCCGAGCCTGAGCTCGATCCCGGGCCCCAGCCAATCAGTACGCGGCACAACGCTACGACAGCAACACCTCAGGGCCAGGCATCACCCCGGGCATACTGACACTCGTTTTTCTCCGAGACCTTGGGTGTATAACTGGCCAAGGAAGAGCGTATGCGGAACGGACCTGAGCAGAAACACGAATGGAAGCGAGCTTGACTGATGGCCGGAATCCTAAAGGAGAGGCTTGTAGAACAAAACCCGCGGGAGTGTCACATTTGAGACGACTCGCGGGACCAGCGCGGACTCAGCAAGAGAGCAGCACTCTGACTAGGGCGCTCTCACGGGACGGAGGCACCCTGCGCTCGACCATTGCAGCCGCCGACGTGTGTGTGGAGGAGCTGCGACGAATAGCTGAGGCACTGCAGTCTGTTCTCCGTTTCCATTCCTCTTCGCCCATGCCTCTTTACCTCTTCCCCCCCCCCCCCCCCCCCTCCCTGTTGCTACATTTGTCAGACGCCAAGTACGTGCGAAAACTCCGCTGTGTAATACTAAAAGGAGAATCATCAGATAGAATGCGCTTGCCACGTGCCAGGTGGGGCTAATCCCGCGCGTTGGGGTCGAGCTTCGAAGTCACGCGGCAGGTAGGTCATATTACATGAAAGATTGTTTCATTGGGACTGTCGCCGAGGGGAGTCGTACCGCGTGCATGTACAATTGGCGCCGTCTGCGTAGATGTGTGAATGTGAATTCAAAATTAATGCATTAGGCTCAGAAGCAGGTCGGGAGAAAGACAAGAATGAGCGTGTTGCAAACGAACCGCCAAGTCATGTACCCAGATCCTGATCACACGTGTCAGTTTCGTAACCTGTTCGAGTCTTCACGTAAAATTGGGGTCGGAAAGACAGATTCTACGAAATGTAAGCAACGCTTTTTGCAGCGCGCTCAGTTCTTGAGGTAAATCTGTTGAGAAATGTTTATTTGTCTTCATGAATAGTTGAACGACTGGCTTAAGTCTTCAAGCAAGTTAGGATCAGGAACGACAATCTTAGTTTCGTCGACACGTAGCTGCTAAGTTGCGATGCGCACAGGTCTCGATGTAAACTTGGACAAAATGACGCGCAATGCACGTTATTCTTATACCATCGATCACTCATTTCGTCAATAGCACGAGTATCGGAGCACTGGAGCCGTGAATGACGGATTCTTTATTGGACATGTGTACCTGCAATGCGCACCGTTTTGATTAAATTTTACGGAAAGTGACGTGCATCGCAACGCATTCTTTATCGCTGGTCAGTTAATTTAGAAAATCACACGAGTCTTAACGAAAAACTGGAATCAGAATGACTGACATTGTGATCCGACACGCAGCTGTTTGTTTATGACGCGCATAGCTCTTAATGTATTTTTGGAATATCTACCGTGCATTGAGGTTCTTTCCATTTCAACGAGTTTACACCGCATCGAGGTCAGAAAGTCTGCTCGAAAGCCCGGTGAGTCATATGAAAGGGACAATGCAAGAACAAAAGTTCGTTAGACTGGCTTTCAAACCCGGCAAGCGGTCAATGAATCATTCGGAAGACGATCTTCGCAAATGTCTGCAGGAATTGTCACCAATTAAATTGAGTTTCTGTCCGCCGGCCCCTAATCCAGCTGATTTAGTACGCATTTTAAGTATGCAGGTAGGATTGTTTCGGACCGCAATTTACGGAAAAGGGGTTTTTGCCATTTTTGCGCTGTAGACAAGTTTATTATCTGCCTGTATTTCTGTTCCAATATTTTGATAACTTAACACCCGCCCGGGTGGCCGGTTGAATACCCTTCGTTCGGGTGGAGGATCAGTTTGATCTCCCTGAGATCTCTGAAACTAAGGGAGCGGGATACACCAAGTTTACAGGGTGTGTTAAGTCTGTTAACCACATTATTTGCCTGTGCATGAACTCACTTATGTCAAAGTTTGGGGTATCTAAGTCATTACTTTTGGGGCAAATAAGGCCAAACAAGGTCAAACTCCAGAGTGGTGTCTGATTGCCGTCAAACCTTCTCATGCAACCGCCGTTAGCCTAAATACCCGTTGTGAGCGAAACGTTAATAGTGTTTACTTAAGGTCAGTGACCACGTATGATCTTTCGAAGGTCATGGTGACCAAAATCATGCAGGACCGCTTTATTTTTTGCGTTTAAATAAGCGTCAAAGATTAGGCTTCGCATTATGTTCCCTACAAGCAAAATATTGATCTAGATCATTTTAGATCAGTGACCTGTTCTGACTGAAGAAGTCCATGGAAGATGTATATTGCAGTTACTGTTGAAAATAAATTCAAAATGAACAGCAGAAGCTACCGCATTTAGCAAGCTCTAGAGAAATAAAACAGGAGATGTGTGGCTTCGTCTAACACTCCGTTGTGGTATCAGAACGACGCCCCAGAATTGTTTTCGCTAAATCCATAGCCTGACTGTGACATGCCTTAGGTCTGCTACCTTACGAGGCATATCTAAATTTTTGATGCCAAACGATTTATTATTTAATTGTCTACAGCAGAACAACATTTGGCGCGGCCATGCCCTGCCGTTCGGAAATCATCCCGGCAAATCCTTCGGGGAGGGGGGGGGGGGGGGGGGGGTAAATTGAGCCCTCACTCGACGGGCACATGATGGGATGTCAACACAGTAAATACGCCGACACGCATTTTTATCGGTTCTTTGCTGTGTGGTCAGTTGAGCATGAGCTCCCGAGCCAATGGTTTGGCACTGCTTAGGTTTTGGAGATGGTCTGAACCGAGGACCTGTACCCAGTAGCTCCCATTCATGAATTACATGGCCGCTTTAAGCTTCATGGTTTGTAAGGACGACAACACGACCTGAACAAGGGGCTGAACTCAAGGTTGTTTTAGTTCAGGTAATGAATGGCGATTAAGTTACCCGTGACTTTTAGAAACTGTTTTAGATTCAGTGCTAAGGATTGTCGAACGGCGTAATGTAGTCGGAAAATTATCCGGGAACTTTCATTCGAATGGTGTTTTCTAGGCAGCAAAAGAGGGCGGACGAAATAAACAGAGTTTTCCTGAATCTTTTGCTTGTAAGGGCGATGAGGGGCCAGACCCTCGCTGCATTTTGGCACGTCATGCACACAGCCGTTTGCTTCGTGCACCCGTGGTAATTAAACCATGGGTGAATTGCTGTTAAGCAATGATCACACGAGAGTTGCGAAAAGAGGTGACGATTTTGCATAACTCAGTTAGATTCCCCTCCCTAAAGCAAATAATGACAGCCAGTGGTTAAGGTGCATTAGGAATGATGCCAAGTGGTTAAAGTGCATTGGGATAATGTCAGATTCCATTTAAATGTATTATAAAAGAGCAAATATTCAGGCCGCGATGGAGCCAATGAACTTGTGTTGGGACTTGGGAGCATCTTTACTAACATTTGGACGTTACTGCCGATTTTGAGGTCTGAGTGTTTCACCACTCAGCCCTCTCACTCACGAATCAAGATGAACATTTCCACAATCACAGAACCAGGACGCGTTACGGTTTCGGTGGCGTAGGCGGCAACGCACCGGGTCCCAAATTTAAGGTCCGTGCGCTCAATACCAGGCCGGGCCAGAAATCGTTCTGTCTGTTCCCTATAGATTGTATTGCATCGGTTTGGTAACGGCCTTTTCACGCTATTTGTTCAATGCGAAATTTAATTCCAAGAGAGGTTTCGCTCGGACATTGCGGGCACAACACCAATGACAACGTGGCATGACGTGACACGGTGTGGTGGGACACACACATTAGCCGTGTGTGCAATGTATACACGACATGACGTGACACGAGGTGGTGGGACACTCGTCATAAGGCGTGTGTGCCATGAAAATGCCATTAGAAGTTATGTACTGGGGTTTACTAAACCTGGCACATTTATCCTGCTGCAAACCCGCGTAATAACTTTGATTTCAACGCAATGTTAGAATGACGCAATTTGAGATATGCTGGTCAAACGGTGAGCGCATTGATCGAACAATGCCACAGATTATTGGACTCCAATTTCAGTGTGTATGGGCCATTCCGGTCTTTGAAGGGACGATTTTAAGGCAAATTAACATTTTTCATCTTGTCAGGTTGTCAGAAATAAGCTAAAGAGACAATCTAGATACACTTATTACCCAGCGAACGCATGAAGCCATGGACGGCTATGTTTAGAATGTTTTCATTCATGCCCATGCCTACGGGCGCCGGTGACTGCGGAAAGAGGAGACGGGACTTTGAATCTTCAGAGCAGAAGTGATCACGCAGGAGGGCTGATATCATTCAAGAGGGAGGGGCCACCGGTCAGAGGAGCTCTCACTATACAGGGGTGGTGCCCATGATACTTTATGGAAGGTGTGACTCGTAGTCTTCGCCGGTTTCTAGCAAAGTCGGTTGCGAAAGATGTACTCGTCAAAAATACGTCAATTTCCGGCCATAAAATCATTGAATGGTTGACATTGGGAAAGGCAGGCTCTCCTCAGGGTAGGAAGCATCCTGGACGATGCTGAGGATGAAGAGCCACTCAGGACTACAGGGCAAGAGTGTGTTAGCTGTGCGCCGTTGTCGTGCTCGTTGCCAACTGAAGCTGGCGCAAACAGTCCGGACGGCCTGACTCTCATAAAACAGGGAGAGTGCTCACAAGACGTTGTAGAGGATGCGACTCGGCGCAGTCGCCACATGTTTCTCGTAAATACATTTACGAAAGATGTGCTGGGCGAAGACGGCTGAGACCCCAGCCAGGATATCACTGCGTGGAGGGCAGGCCCTCCTTGAGGGCAAGGATGCTACCTGGGAGACACTTATGATGAAAACCATCCTGTATTGACGGGAAGGATATTTTGCTATACGGTTTTACCCCCTCTCCCGGATGAACTCGATCCCCGTGTGAAAGAGCCCGACGTGTTAAGATGACGAGGAATTAACATTGCAAACTTGCGTTCCGGTCTCCCAAAATCGCAATTTGTCATTATATCAGGTATTAGTACTCCACCCCGACGCCGTGTGCCACTGGACGGGACTAGAGGGGTAAATGTGTGAGGCCGAAGTTGAATAGGATACGATGAATGAACGCAACGTATGATGGTAGTGGGATGAATGCGTAGAATTGAATGAAGGTTGGTAACTTATAGGGACCAGTGGGAGCAACGGCAGGTCAGGACAGGGAAGGGACAAAGGAATGATGATCGCATTCTAAACAACCAATGTTAACGCCGAAGATAAACTGAGGAGGGAGTAGGCGAGATGTCCGGCGGAGCGTATCGTTACCCAAGTCATGTCAGACGAAGCTATACATCTCTGAGCTCCTTTTTTTCGGCAACACAACAATTCAACGGATAAATTACATTGACCTAAGGTCAGATGCAAAGGTCAGACCAAGGTTCAATCTAACCTGTTTTGTTACTCTAACGCTTGCTGTATGGGGTAGCTCCTGGGGCTCATTTCGAATTTATTGATAATAGGAATCACATTATACACCTTCCATAGACTTCTTAAAGGTCAGAATAGGTCACTGACCTGGAATGATCTAGCCCAACATTTTGTTTTTAGGAACATACTGCATAGCGTAACATTCGCGGCTTATCCAGATGCAAAACCCGAAGCGGTCCTGTGTGATTTTGGTCAGCATGACCTTCAAAAAATCACACAAGTTCACTGACCTTAGAGGAGCATGTTACCCTTCGCTCAGAACAGTTACCTAGGTTCTAGGGGTTCGTTGGAGACCGACCTGGAATTTGATCTTGTTCGACCTTATTTGACCGGAAGGTCATAACCTAGGAATCTCAAACTTTGGCCTGACTGAGTTCACGTACAGATCAACACACCCTGTGAGTTTGGCGCCTCCAGTTCACTTAGTTCCTGAGATCTCGGGGGGGGGGGGGGAGTCAAATTGACCCCCACCCGAGCGTAGCGTATCCAACCGGCCACTCGGGCACGTGTTAAGTTTTAGGTCCAGTTATACCGCGAGGCATCACTTAGTGACGTCAGTTGTGCTCTTGTTGCCAGGTGCTATCTCGGCGGACTCGCGGAACATGCAGGTGCTGGACCGGCTGCAGGTGGAGCGCGAGCGCGGTATCACCGTCAAGGCGCAAACAGCGTCCCTGTTCTACACACACGTGAGGCGCGCTGCTGGACACAGGTGCTCAGTTGGCGATAGGACCGCTGTGCGCCTATGCTGGCTGATTATTACTCCCAGCACAGGTGCACAGCTTTTCTATCATTTATTTCACTCAACAGTGAGGCGGGTGAATAGATCAGGATGCGCTGTTCAATTAATTCTACGTTTTCTTTTATCATGTTGAAGAGTTATGCCAATGAGCAATGTTTCCAGCCGGTTTGTAGCACAGCAAATGTGTATGCATTTTGTGGGACATGCTTAGTGCTACTCAAAAACATTAGCCGCATTATTAGATGCTCCTTCCCCCTGCTTGTTTGATGCGTGACTGTTGATGTGATGTTTGATATAGGCCTTAAAAGTGACGCCCGCTTTTTGACATGGCCAATTGCCATTGCTTTGCCATCGCACGGGCATTTGTTAGTTTGCGTAAATGTTGCTTCGCGTCATTGGAACATAATAAAGGAAGCTTCGTGGTATTGGGTGTGCTTCATGTACCGCCCGGTGCTTTCAACTTATGTCTGCGCAGAGTATTCGAAATACGTCGGACGTTTTGTTTGTGGTGGCATGTTTCATTTGTATGTCATTTAATGCTCCATCGTCGTTTCCACGAGGAAGACTGAGTAGTACGAATCTTTTCACTCTTAACTTGGCACTTAACTTTGAATTGGTCTGGTAAAGTGATGTGTTCTGTGAACAATGGTTAACTTGGAACATTTTTGGTTGGGGGGGGGGGGGGGGGAGGCTCCCTTCATGGTCCGCGTAGGCCAATCGCTGTGTTCCATCATGCGCCAATATTTTTACTCAAAGCGCTTACTTTAGCCTTTTTGTTGAATTACAGAACGGCGAGGAATATTTGCTCAACCTGATTGATACTCCAGGACACGTAGACTTCAGTTACGAGGTGTCCCGATCATTGCAGGTAAGCCTGTGGCAGCATTGTTACTGTCAGACCACTTGGCCGAGGAGCCAGCGGACTCGGTCACGCTGCTGCCCACGTGAAAATCGACACCCGAGGGCGGGGCTGACCCACACGCGCTTTCGACGACATACGAACCGTATGTTTAGCATAAGTGAGGTGCAGTTCATCCACTTCCGTTCAGAGTAGGTTGAGCCCGACTACCCCTGACCGCGCGCGGTGGGGCTAGCGTGCGTGCCCCCGCCACTGACATGACTTGACCTGATCTGCGGCACAGGCGTGTCAGGGCGTGGTGCTGCTGGTGGATGCCAACAAGGGCGTGCAGGCGCAGACTGTGGCCAACTTCTACCTGGCTTTCACCAGCGAGCTGGCCATCGTGCCAGCCGTCAACAAGATCGACCTACGCCACGCCGACCCGGACCGAGCCGTGGCGCAGATGCAGCGTCTGTTCGACTGCGACCCGGACAAGATCTGCCGGGTGAGCGGCGCCGCCGGGCATGGCGGCGACGGTCAGCGCAGCCGTGCGGTCGTGACAGGCGTAGGACAGGATCTGCTGGGTGAGCGCGGCGACGGTCGGCGCGGCCGTGCGGTCGTGACAGGCGTAGGGCACAATCTGCCGGGAGAGCGGCGACGGTCGGCGCAGCCGTGCGGTCGCGACAGGCGTAGGACAGGATCTGCTGGGTGAGCGCGGCGACGGTCGGCGCAGTCGTGCGGTCGCGACAGGCGTAGGGCGGAATCTGCTGGGAGAGCGCGGCGACGGTCGGCGCAGCCGTGCGGTCGCGACAGGCCTAGGACAGGATCTGCTGGGTGAGCGCGGCGGCGGTCGGCGCAGCCGTGCGGTCGTGACAGGCGTAGGACAGGATCTGCTTGGTGAGCGGCGCCGCCGGGTGCGGCGGCGACGGTCGGCGCAGCCGTGCGGTCGTGACAGGCGTAGGACGGAATCTGCTGGGAGAGCGGCGCCGCCGGGGGCGGCGGCGACGGTCGGCGCAGCCGTGCGGTCGTGACAGGCGTAGGACAGAATCTGCTGGGAGAGCGCGGCGACGGTCGGCGCAGCCGTGCGGTCGCGACAGGCGTAGGGCGGAATCTGCTGGGAGAGCGCGGCGATGGTCGGCGCAGCCGTACGGTCGCGACAGGCGTAGGGCGGAATCTGCTGGGAGAGCGCGGCGACGGTCGGCGCAGCCGTGCGGTCGCGACAGGCGTAGGACAGGATCTGCTTGGTGAGCGCGGCGACGGTCGGCGCAGCCGTGCGGTCGTGACAGGCGTAGGACAGGATCTGCTTGGCGAGCGCGGCGACGGTCGGCGCAGCCGTGCGGTCGCGACTGGCGTAGGACAGAATCTGCTTGGTGAGCGCGGCGACGGTCTGCGCAGCCGTGCGGTCGTGACAGGCGTAGGACAGGATCTGCTTGGCGAGCGCGGCGACGGTCGGCGCAGCCGTGCGGTCGCGACAGGCGTAGGACAGGATCTGCTTGGTGAGCGGCGCCGCCGGGTGCGACGGCGACGGTCGGCACAGCCGTGCGGTCGCGACAGGCGTAGGTCTGGGCTCCGGAGCCCTGGCTAGCGGGTGGGACGAGGATGATCCGGCCGATCGGCGACGAAGCGTGCTGAGCTGGAGCTTAGCTCGTCTGTGTGAAGGCCGAAAGGCGGGGAAGTCCAATGTAGTGTGTGTTCCCTGCGTGGAGTTGCTGTTGTTACTGTATTGATGTTTGCGTTAAACGGCATTAGACGAATCCCACCAGACACATCACACTTGCTTCCACCGACATACTGTATAACTATCTATGGCTGCGAGCTGTGGCCTGGATGCCGTGAATATTGGTGTCTTTGGCCGCATATTGACATAGTTTACATTTGCGCCACCGGTTCCTATGGGCATGTCTTGCCGCATCCCCGAGTTGTCTCACAAGGTCTTTCAGTGAAATTTGAAGCCCTTGAGGGTGACTTAGCGGCGGCCAAGTGCTCCGTTGGCACGAAGCGCCCACACCATCAGGCTGCCTCCGGCTCTAATTACTGCCTCTGTTGTCAGATATCGGCCAAGCTGGGTACGAACGTGGAGTCTGTGCTGACATCGGTGATAACCGAGGTGCCGGCGCCCGTCCACTGCCGCCGCGATGCGCCCACACGCGCTCTCATCTTCGACACGTGGTGAGCGCCGCTGTAGCTCGGCAGTGTCTCGGTGAGCGCCGCTGCAGCTCGGAAGTGTCGCGGTGAGCGCCGCTGCAGCTCGGCAGTGTCTCGGTGAGCGCCGCTGCAGCTCGGCAGTGTCTCGGTGAGCGCCGCTGCAGCTCGGCAGTGTCTCGGTGAGCGCCGCTGCAGCTTGGCAGTGTCTCGGTGAGCGCCGCTGCAGCTCGGCAGTGTCTCTGTGAGCGCCGCTGCAGCTCGGCAGTGTCTCGGTGAGCGCCGCTGCAGCTCGGCAGTGTCGCGGTGGGCGCCGCTGCAGCTCGGCAGTGTCTCGGTGAGCGCCGCTGCAGCTTGGCAGTGTCTCGGTGAGCGCCGCTGCAGTTCGGCAGTGTCTCGGTGAGCGCCGCTGCAGCTTGGCAGTGTCTCGGTGAGCGCCGCTGCAGCTTGGCAGTGTCTCGGTGAGCGCCGCTGCAGCTCGGCAGTGTCTCGGTGAGCGCCGCTGCAGCTCGGCAGTGTCTCGGTGAGCGCCGCTGCAGCTTGGCAGTGTCGCGGCACAGCACTGAAGAGCACTGAGTGCACTTCTTTGAATATCTGGAATGCTCGATTAGTGGTTTGCGAATCTCCCTGCCGTGTCAATGAAGACATTTTCGATGAACTGTTGTCTGCTGATCATTCCGCTCTCGTCCCCCCGTGTCGTCACCAACATGACCAGCACTGCCGCCGTGTTCAGCAGTCGCCCCCGCCCGGCCGTACCTCATTCGGCCGAAGGCGGGCGCCCTCACGCCCTGGACACGCGCTGTCCCACGCTCCCACCCCTCACGCCGGCCCCGCCCCTCACGCCGGCTCTGCCCGGCCGTGTCTTGTTCGGCCGAAGGCGGGCGCCCTCACGCCCTGGACACGCGCTGTCCCACGATCCCGCCCCTCACGCCGGCCCTGCCCGGCCGTGTCTCGTTCGACCGAAGGCGGGCGCCCTCACGCCTTGGACACGCGCTGTCCCACGCTCCCGCCCCTCACGCCGCCCCCTGCCGGCCAGGTTTGACCGGTACAAGGGCTGCGTGCCGCTGGTGGCGGTGGTGGACGGTCAGCTGGCGGCCGGGGACGTGGTGGTCTCGCAGCAGTCAAGCCGCGCGTACGAGGTCCGCGAGGTGGGCCTGCTGCGACCGCACGAGACGCCCGTCCAGCGTCTGTGAGTGGTCGGGCCTGCCCTCCCTGTGCTCGGACGGCAGATGGAGCCCTGCGCTCGACTTTATGGCGGTGGCGTCAGTGTTCGCTGGCTACTGCGAGCACGCTGCCGGGCTTTTAAGAGGGGGCTGCTGTGAAAACGTGGATTCAGGCGTTGCAGCATATACAGCAGGTGGACGGACTGCTAGGTGATCCGTATCGCAAGTGCAGTCATCCTGATGTACTGTTAGATGCTGCGCCACTTGAGATATCCGACGCGTTGTTTGTCAAGCAGTCGCCGGCACCAGCATTGCCTTCGTCTGATAGTCTCAGCTGAGATTGCCGTGATCCAGTGCTGTTCCTGTGCGGCCGGGTCGCCGCCGAGACCGGGCAATGACCTCGCCCTCACGGCGGTCTTGTGCGGCAGGTTTGCCGGTCAGGTGGGCTACATACACGCCAACATCCGGACGGCGAGCGAGGCTCAGGTGGGCGACACGCTGGGCCTGCGAGGCCATCAGATCACGCCCTTCTCCGGCTTCAAGCGCGCCAAGCCAATGGTCAGTCGGGGTCGGCGGTCCCGGTCAGCAGCGGTCGGCCCCTCCCGCCACCCGGCTCGGCCGGCTCGCCGAGTGGGGAAACGCCCGCTCGGGTGCTGTTGATGGACTCGTGGGGTGGGTCGAAGTGCTGATATGGCTTGCGCCGCGTTCGCGGGGCCTCGCTGTTTTTGCTGATAAAGAGTCCGAGTGCAAGAGTAAAGAGTAAGTTCGTCATGTAACGGGCTAAACTCGTCCCGGGCTGGTGGTGGACAGACAGGTGTGACCGCCCTTGTACGGCTTGGTGAGAGCGGAGGCCACCACTGTTTGGCTGGCTCCACGGCGGCCGAGCTGGCCGTGCCGCATGTGGCAGCCCCTCGCCACCACGCCGTAGCGGTCCGCTCAGCTGGCGGAGCTGGGCGCCGGCAGGTGTACGCCGGCCTGTACCCGATGGACCAGTCGCAGGTGCCCAGTCTGCGCAGCGCCATCCAGCGGCTCACGCTGAACGACTCCAGTGTCAGCGTTCAGGTGGAGTCCAGGTCAGGAGCGCTTCACGAGCTCACCAGTCGCTCACTGTAGGCACCCGTGCGCTCTGCTGCCTGACGGAGGTTGCTCTTGAGCCGTTTCAAGTCTGCTCCGGCACCTTTTAAAATGGTGAAGCATACACAGTCCGTTGTGATGACGACTGTTCTGTTATTGTTGACGCCTTCACTAGGCTTGAGAAGCTTTCTACGTCTCGTCCGCCTGGCTGGTGTCATGGTTGGATGAGGTGTCTCTCTAGTTGGCAAACAGACGATTTTGCGAAAGTGTGCTATGCCTTTCCATCTGGGTATTTTTTCAATGCATAATTTCAAGCCACGCGTATTCAGTGATGTCTAATGCCGATGCGGCGTTTGGGGCGCCACCTACAGTGTCAATCTCCGGCAAGGCGCGCCGTTTGGAGCGCCTCGATCGGTGCCTGATGCGTGGACTGACACCAGCCGCTGACTGCAGCGCGGCGCTGGGCCAGGGCTGGCGGCTGGGCTTCTTGGGTCTGCTGCACATGGACGTGTTCACCCAGCGGCTGGAGCAGGAGTATGACTCGGAGGTGGTGGTCACCTCGCCGAGCGTGCCCTACAGAGGTGCGGTACGGCCGAGACAGCGGCCACGTGCAGCCCTTGTTGACGACACTCGTGTCAGTCGGGTGACCGCCAGCAGTGGCGGCCACCCAGTGCTACGGTGTACGAACCATGCAGGTTTTGTCATCGGCGGCATGTCTTTTAAGTGGGGAATATGAGTGGGAGGAAGCTACTGAGATGCTAGAGCAGACTATGCGCCCCTTAGTTGTGACAAGCCGGAACGTAGCCCTCCAGTGTTGTACCAGTCATATTCATTTACGTGTTTCCCTTCAGCCAAGGTGCATGGCGCCAAGAACATCAAACACTATGGCAGTGAGGAGATTTCCATTAACGGTCCGGCTCAGTTTCCGGACGTGTCGACCGTCTCCGAGTTCATGGAGCCCATGGTGACGGGCACCATCATCACACCTGGTGAGGCTCGGGATGGGTGATACGACCCCGCCTCTATCCTTCTGCCCCTTCATCCCCCCCCCCCCCTCCGGATGGCAATAGGAAGGATGCATCAGTTAGTTCTGTCTGTTTTTCTTCTCGCAGCTCCATGAGTTTTGATGATGCTTCCCTCCTGTCATTGTCATCTTCCGTTCGTTCATCTATCCGTCTGTCGTTCGTCGGACGCCCCTAGTCACCGTCTGTAGAGTCTCACTTTGGCCACTGGTGTGCGTGGAAGCGTGGAAGCCATGCCAGACGCACGTACTTGTGGTGGATAGATACTTAATACTTGAAAGTATCTTCCGCACAGCAGTACTATCAAGAAAGCCTAGCTTGTTTAAGGACTGGAGCACTCGCCGTCGTTCTCGACGAATGCCCACAGTTGTCCAGAGGTAGACGTAATGTCAGCGGTTTTATACCGCACACATCTGCGGACACATTTCCCTTTGTGCTGTTGCATAGTCCCTTCGCACTGTGCACTTCGCAGTTCTTCTGGGCAGCAAGTGACTGAGGCCCTCTACATTCACGCTACGGCGCAGCTCACCATGTATGCTCACTCAGGAATAGAGCACAATATCGGCCTAGGTTCCTCAGACTAGGCGCGTTGCGATCTAACATTCTCTCTCTCTCTCTCTCCTCTCCTCTCTCTCTCTCTCA